TGTCCGAGGACTTACAGCTTCAAGCAACCATCGAGCTAAAGGCACTGCGTCTTCTCAACTTCCAGAAACAGGTACAAACACCCCTACTACAAAATGGTTCCTTCTGATAGCTGAATAACAGAGGTCATTCTTTTTTAGGAATATTGATGTTGAAACGTCCAAAATCATATCAAAGGGCAAAATTGTACTGAATTACATGATACTTCATTAAAAATGTTTATTGATGTTCAAAGTCACTTAACTTCCAAATGTGGCACACACACACAAACACACCCACCCACACACACACACACAGACAAACGCTACTGAAAACATAACCTTCTTGGCGAAGGTAAATATACGCCTGTGGTCCAAATGGACCCCGTTCAGGTGTTTGAGGGTTAAGAGCTTAAGCCTCTGTCACAACCAGCCGCGCGTGCAAATACGTGCTGTTTACGTGTAACAACGTCGGCAATTTTTTAGAATCCGTTAGTGGTGAATACCAACACCGTAAGAAATCCTAAGGATTTGGGAGACACGCCGTAGCACTTTAAGTGCATGTAAAACTTTCTCAGCGTGGGGGATGTGTCTTCATTCCCTGTACGAGTCAGACGACGCCCGTGCCCCGTACATGTACGTACCGGTACGTGTACCGCATCTATACGGTAAAGTGGCAATCGCACAGAGATCGTACGTTGTAAGCACGTACAACTCAATACTTGCACAACGTACAATGCACGCAACCGCTCAGGGCCAGACGTAGCCTGAAGACGACATCCTCACACTTTGTGCAACCGTGAAAGTGACGTGTGTTGATGTACTGCACATGCAAGTCCTTCCCCACGTTTTCAGAAAAACGCAGTAGACGTGGCCTCCCAAAAAAAAAATTACGGATAAAAGGCACACACGGCGGGTTGTGACCAAGGATTTATGATTACGTTTCATACTCGCTAAGATTTGACACAAATTGCATATTTATGCATGATCTTAATTATTTCATTAAGAATATATTTATATATTCACAAAACAGAACTTTTCAGGAAACAAAAATCATTCCAGTGTTACTTGACTTTAAAGCACCCCTATGTGTGGATCAAGTTAGAATTATTCACTAAAAATAGTATAAACTACTACTCTATGAAAAATGTACAATAAAATGTCGATTACTGAAACCAAAACTAAATTGGAAAAAAAATTAATTTCTAAACACTGCATTTTTTTATTTTTTTTATTTTCTTATGTTAGTTTTATTTCATTTTAGAAATAAACATTACAATTTCGAATACCTTTGTGGGCATCCTAGCGGTATTTTTTTGCGTTTTCATGTATTTTTGGTTAGATTAAAAATTGAAAAAAAGCATGTTTGTAGTTTTGCCCTGACAACTGGCATTGTTATATTGACATGTATTTTTATACGTTTTGTTATATATATTTTTATACTTTTTATATTCTTTATGTGTATTCCATTGGGCTTAACTTTTCTGTGTCTTTAGTTAGTCAGATTTTCAACTCAAGTTGCAGGAGAAGGCTACAAATTTCAATTCAGAAGGGCAAAATGCAACAGCCTCTCCCAACCCTGACGTGCGGCATCGTGTGCTAGGTGCCCCACATAAAAAGGTGAGCACCTCTCCCCCAAAAAATTCTGCGGAGACCCTGAATATTTATATATTTTCATTTCAGTACTTAGTGGTGTACATGTATGTATGTATGTATTTTTAAATGTTTCTACTATGTTGTTGTAATTATGTAATTTTAATTGTTTGAGCCTTGGAAGATTAGCCCTTCGGGGCTAAAAGGTTTCGAAATAAATGAAATGAAATAATAAGATAGAATACATCTGCTTAGATTTTTTTCTACCATGTTGTATTCGTGTCATTATCAACATCCAGACTGTAAATGCACATATTACAGAGCTAAAATAGTATCTGCATTATAAAGCAACTTTCAACATTATATCAATACAAAAAACTTACTGATATTTTGATTGCACAAGTACAATCTTTGACAGTAGTTAACAATTCGACTCATTACAATCATCCCAAAAGGAAGACGGGGGGTGCTACAGACTTTCTGCAACATATAACCCCTGCTCACCAAACCACGTATTTCGTCAGTATACTGTGACGTCACAAAACCGTTGGTTTGTTTATTCCTTTGCAAATACCATAGTTGTACAGTCGAAACTTTGGGTAAGTCCCATTTCTTGTGAAAGATAGTAGAGTTTTTACTTGCTCAATATTTACTTTTACCAACACTTATAAACATACGCTGTACTCTATATTTCAAAATTCCGTCTATGACGAAGTTCTGGTACATCCGTTGCCACTTGTTCTTTTGTCATTAGCGTCGCCAAATTGAAAGATTCGGCTTCCTCTTGTTCTTCCTTTTCTTTCCCCGCTGTGCTTTCTTTGTTCCACTCTTGGTTTCTGCGTGTGCTGTTGATTCAAAAATTATATTTTACAGCTAGAGATAAATGACCTCAAACCATTGCCAATGATGTAAAATTTAGCTATAAATATATATAATCAATTATGACAATAATACCACCATTTGCACGACATGAGTTTGTTAACAATACCTTCAAACTAATTACAGACTTAACAAAGAAAGCTATTCTTAGATGAAACAAATGTTGTCCTCATCTGAATGTTAAAGTTAATGATGTTCACCTACTAAATGGATCAAGTATAAAAACCCCGGCAGTTATAACTATGAAATCAAATATTTTTTCCTTAACTATGAATAAAATTTTTTTATCGACACAATTTATTTATTTGCTTTTAATGACATAAACAAAATGTACAAAACTTTCGTATAAATGTTAAATTTGTTTTTTTTCAACGTCTTGTAAAATTCTCGATACCAACCTTTGTTATAGGCATGTTTCCCTAATCCCTTGTGCAACTTGGTCCTTTTAGCCCCCATCATTGTACCTAGAAGGAAATTATAAGAACTAAAATCATGTCCATGCACGATGTTAGGTAAAAGTTTGATAAGATGATAGAAATCTATCATTTTCTATAGTTGTAAATTCCGTTTCTTTTATCAGGCCACAGCAAGTAAATTTTATGGATAACATCCTCCACAGACTCCAAATCTAATGTAAGCGGGCGAAAAAAAACAAGGCGGGCCGAAAAAAAAACAAGGCGGGCCGAAAAAAACAAGGTTCCTACATTTAAAAATGTTGACTAAACCATTAGACAAATGGTTTTGATTCAGTGGGAACATCACATCTATACACAGCCAACATCACATATCACTGGATTAGAGTAAGAAATAAAACATTTAATCAGGGCCTTTTCTTGTCTCCTCTCTTCATAGTTATCTGCCATCCACCTTCCGGCATGGCAACAGACATCTTTGCCCGTTTTCGGCATGGTGACCACTGTCAGAAGGCAATGATTTTGATGATTTTTCCAAAATCAGGCGAAAATTTATGCGCGCGCTGATGTCATCTATAAAAATTGCTTCCTGTGGCCTTGGTCTTTCGTTTGTTTAATTTGCACGGCACACAGATACATTGATGACGGTATGATTGGATGAGAATCCCTTCGATATAACCTCTGGTGTTGCGCCACCTTGCGACAGTCACTGGCCCTGCAAAGAACAATGCTGTCTACTTCCTACTTACGTGGTGTTTTGCAGACGTCTTGTTCCTCAAATGGGTAAAGAATGAGCGGTGGTGGCTCACGCATGGTGATCAGTTGCTTTAAAAGAAAGGATTACGAGGGTTTTAATGAGTTTATTGCAAATGCATGCCCGAAGGCTAATTGCAAGTTACAAACATTAAAGAACTCTGAAATAGAGTATAAATTTAATAAAAATAACTTCAAAATGCACATAATGAAATCTAATTGTCTAAAACTATTGCTACATCTAAAACTATAGTTTTTATTATAGTTTTAGATGTAGCAATAGTTTTAGACAACACACAATTTACAGAGAGATCAAATTTTCAGCGACCACTGTCGCATTCATCAGGATAATTAATGACCGTCACGTACATGTATCAGTAAACTCTCGTGTGAATAAGGTCACGTGTTTGTAAACCGTAACTCTCGCGAGACCACGCTGTGAAGTGATTGGTCATTAATTATCCTGATGAAGGCGACAGTGGTCGCGGAAAATTTGATCTCTCTATAAATTGGGTGTTAAAATATAGTTCAACGTTTTACTACAGATCAGTCTTACCTGATGATATGCCTCAACGCTAGTGTCTTTCTTCATACAGGTAACAGACGTGTTTCCGGTTCTCTGTAGTGCCTGAAAAACAAGGTGCAAGAGGACAAACTAAGGAGTCATACTATTCTTAAATATTAAAAGCATTTTTGTCGCTAAACAGAATAATGATTTTTTCACTGGCTAAAAATCTTAGAAGCAATGATCAAAACGGATGAAAACGGACTGTTGAAATGTGTATCATTTTGTTGTTCTTACCTGGAATGTTTGCCTGGTATTTTCATCCCAGTCGATAGAGTGCAGTAGTTTTTGTATGGTGTTACCAGCCATGTGAGGAGGTTGGGTGGGTACATAGTCGTTTTCGGCGGCGCTGTTAAATATTTGGGACAATTTAAAGGAAAATGAAGTTGTTTTGATAGAATTTCTCTAAAGAAAACATTACCAGAGACATCTTTCTAGTTTTGTCTTTTAATGATATGAATTAATAATATGAATGATGTGAATTAGTGATAAGAATTAATGATATCATTTCTATTTCAGAAATTTGGTTAGTAAATAAAAAAAATATATATATTATACGTTTTTATTTTCCTGGTTATCCTGGAGTCTTGTATTTTTTTGTGTCGGTATTAGGCCACGCTGACCTAATTTTATGGCTGGCATCCTCTGAAAACAAGTGCGTGTGGACGAATTTAAGTACGATTTCATCCAAAAAATGCTTCTAACACGAATACAAAGCAGGTATTGTGAATATGCGGTAGTGCTTAACTACCTTTACGAAGGACTAGCCGGCACATGCTAGCCGTTTACGGCATTTATGAGTCAGCGTTGTATTAAGACTGTATTCAACACAGACGTTCATTTTCAACTGTCTAAGACGCATCTTTGACATTAGACCACAGCAAGTAAATTCTATGGATGACATCCTCCGCAGACTCCAAATCTAATGCAAGCGGGCAAAAAAAACAAGGCAGGCCAAAAAAAGCACGGTTCCTAGATTTTCAAATTTTGACTAAGTCATTGTTCAAATGGTTTTGATTCAGTGGGAACATCACATATACACATATCACTGCATCAAAGTAAGAAACAAAACATTAAATCAGAGCTTTTTCTTGTCTCGTCTGTTTATAGTTATCGGCAATCTACCTTCCGGCATGGCAACAGACATCTTTGCCCATTTTCGGCATTGTGACCACTGTCAGAAGACAACATTCGTTTTTTTTTTTCAAAATCAGTCGAAAATTAATGCGCGCGCTGATGCCATCCATAAAAAAATTACTTGCTGTGGCCTCAGCTATTTTGATTAGATGACCAGAGAAGATCCGGATGGAGGGTAGTGGGGCAAGACAGGAACGTGTTGCCGTATATAGATCACGAGGAGGAAATAGTAGTATCAATGAGACTATCTTCCCAATTTAGCGGTGTGCGATGCAAAATTAATAAAGATGCGATGATGCCTATTAAGTATCCAAGTATCCGAGAATCACTATTTATCCAGGATAAACTTTTGTAACATGTACTTAACATTGTTGATCTTGATATTAGAATAAATACCTTTATTGTACATACATACCCACAGGATTAAGTACATGACACAACAGATAATATACATGTACAGGATGATGATAAAACTAGCACTAGCACTGGTGTACATTAGGTAATTCCACTTCTGTTCGTTTCTCTTTGATGGAGAAACGGTAAACAAAACATCACAGCTTGTCTAAGGTCACTAGAAATGTGTCTCTGTACTAGTTAGTATGTATATATGTGCATAATTGATACTTTAAGGTCACACCAATTTAATTTGTTGTTTCTCGGATTTTTCAGGACAAAAAATATGAATAGACAGGGCGAAATAAAAAAAAAAAGCCCATGGCACCCCGTGATAGCCGGAAATGTTACGATTTGAGCCATTAAATCAACAAACCAGGCTGGTTAATAATTTAAACAATAGATTTTGAACTTTTAATGAAACAGTTGCATTGTTATATTGAAAAATTTTAATGACTATGAATAAAGGGACGTTCTTCGACTGTTGTGTCCAAAACATTTATTTCGTTGAGCATTTTACAGTTGATTCAAAACCTAATTTTTGTTTTAAATCAGAAAAAAATGGACAGAGCGATCCGAGAAACAACAAATCAACTTGGTGTTGCCTAATAAGGATATCCATTAGCTGCTCACAGGCATGAAACACTGATGCAATTAGGCTATAATATAACCATATAAAGCACCTGAAGGTAACTTCTGTGGCCCCGAGCGCCGCCAGGTAAGACGCCTTGTGTGGGTTACTCTTACACCGTCTTAGCTTCATGTTCGGGTAGTGAAGTATGTGACCAAAACACATCTCTTCTTCCGTACTCAGGCCTCCCTATTGGCAAATATGTCAACAGTAGTCTTTAATACGGTATGAAACTAATGACAATGAAATACGGAAGTCACCTTTAACTAACGATTTAGAAATCATTACAGACAAATCCACAATATTATACCTTCGGCAACTGAAGCAAACATTTTCGTCTGACGAATTCAGAATGTTTCTTACTGATTCTAAACTAATTTTTTTGCAAAATCAAAATTAGCGATATGTTATGAAAAGGTTAGCAACAATCAAGCATTCTCTGTGGCCCTAGGGATTCAAGTGTAATTACAAGCAGCCATCGCAATGGATGTACATAAGTGGAAACAGTAGTATTCTGAAAGTAGATTTGATTGTGAGAAACTCACGTATGTAACCTTCCGCCTGTCAGTGGTATTGTACGTACACTCCACTATGATGTAGTCGCCCTGAAACAGAAAAAAAGATCACATGGTTTGCAGTTAACTGCACGTTTGCGCCTGTATTTTGTCTTTAAGTCATCATTTTCATTATCGAATTTTTTTTCTTATTGTTCTTTAATCTGCGCCGTGTATTGATTGCTTAAAAATATCAGCCCCTCTCAATTGGTGAAAAGCAACAAAAATCTCAAACTAAAAAAATAGTTACAGCACGTCTAACTACGCCGGTATTCAAAACTGTCTCTAATATTCTATGTAAAGACATTCAAGTTATGATTATCATTTCATAATAATTTATTACATATGACCCAATAACAATTTAGCTCATATGTATATCCCAATAATTATACCAAACAAGCAGAATTTTACCTCGCAGACATCAGTTAATTATGGAATAGGGCTGACTCAACTTTTTACATATTGACTATAAAATCCCAACTGTTAGTTAAAACCTGAAGTTTTTGGAGTTTACAAGCATACCTTTAAAACTTCTACCTCCTTCTGTAGACTGACAGTCTGCTGAAAGTTGAAGTCAAAGTTTTCATCGTTCCGTATCCACGGCAGTTCCACTCCGTTCCGCACGTGGCGCATCTTCATCTTCCTTCCCGCCAGGTGAGTGTGGAAATGGACGCCGATCACGTGGATCTTCTCTATGGACTCTTCCTCCATTGCCTGTGGAAGACATTGCCACAACAAAGATCCGTAGTTACATACTAAATACGTATACCTAGCTATCATAATTCCGACTATGTAGATAGTGGAGGGATATAATTTGGAAGTTAAACTTCCTAACACCATTTGCACACAGCTAAACTTGTCCAAGTTGTTACCTCGATAACACCCACACTCTTTCTCAAATAATGCGTGCTAAGCAGAGAAAGCAGTATGTACCATTTTATGTGAGGAAAAAACTCACGTGGTACAAGTCGAATAAAACGTTACCTTCTCCAGACAGTCTGGATAACAAGTTCCGACTGTAACAAAGGCCTGACTCCCAGGCGGGATGATGAGTGTCCGTGCCACCTCCATGCCAAGCTGCATGAAGCCCAGGTCGTGCTGCCGCAGCTCTGAGGTGTACAGTAACCGGAGACCAGACCTGTCCACTATGCCTGTGTACAACAATGAGACCAAAAGAAGACCAAATGACAACAAAAAAGGCTGTAAAATACAATAATTATGAGAAGTGTACATACAAAAATAGTCACTTGATGTTTGTTCCAATCACGATGACTGAGAAATTGAGCTTGCCTGGCCTTCCTAAGGTGGATTTTTGGAGACTCTCTAGCAAGCTTCCCGATTATCCACTTCGGGCATCTCTATTTGCATCTGTATGTTTTATTTTTGCATATCTGTGCTTTTTCTTGAGCTGACATCACTGGGTGACATCAGCTCAAGAGAAACTACAGATAGGCAGAACTAAAATGTAGAGATGCAAATCGTCTGCCAGGACTGGCTTGTGCTGACTTTTCCAATGTAGGGCGTTAGAACTTCGAATGTAACAGGAGAACCGTGCATATTTATCATAAATGTGTCTGTTTACCAGGTAATACTAGTTATGTTAAGTACAATATGTTAAGGTCATATTTTTGTGTCATGAGCACTTAAAAGGTGGGACATAATGCATGTCGCGGCTTATAGCACTGAAAAGCTAAACCTACCAGACATAGTTTAAAAAGCAAATAACATGTTTCTAGAATTTAATATTTTGTACGTTGTTTCATCACTCCCATCTCTTTGTTAGCTGTAATAACCTTTCGGGGCATGCACTGCCAAAACAATTGTAAGTCAAGAAATATGTCTACTGTTTTATGTTAGAAAAACTGATTTAATAACATTAACAACGTACACAAAACAAACACTACCACACTGTGTGTTGTTGTGATTTGCAGTCTGGCTTAAGAACATACAGGTATATTTGCATATAGTAACATACAATTAACGTATAACAAGGGTATGACATAGAGAATGTCCTTGCTTATACCAACTACTTTTTCAAACGTTGTTTATCGTTTAGCACTATATAGAGAGGGGATAATAAAGAGAATGTCCTTGAAAATATAAAATTCTTTTTTAAACAGTATCTGTCAGGACTATAATGCACTCACCAGTCTTATGCTGCGGGTTGTTGTAGTGTGTCTCCATAACAAAGAACGTTGGATCGTCAGGACCACCTACGGAAAGACCGGCCTTTTCTGGGTAGTAAATGCCCTGTATAATTAAGAAAAAACATGCACGCCATTGATTTGATTAAAATATATTATAATATGTAATTAAGTAAAGTCATAGAAGGGGTGGATTTTTTTATTACTAAAAAGTGTATAATTGTTAAACATCTAGGGAAGTCCGTTATAAGTTGCATTGTAGCAATCCCAAGAGTGTTAAATGCAAATTGTTAGACAGATTCTTTATGCAAAACAGTCATGTATTTACCAGTATTTAAAACTCAGTTTTTAACGCAGGCAAAATCAGATAACTGCCTTAATTTCTTAAAGAGTTAGGCACTACTGACCTCTATATCTACTTCCTAGGCTGTCAGCCTGATCTTACAGTAATCAACACCCTGGCGACTTTCCTATGTATTGCAGTGGAAGTGTTTCATATTCATGACCTTACCTTAGACCTTAGACCTTAGTTCCTCCTGTGCCGAATGGCACATCGGGCAGCAAGCTTCCACTTCTTTTTGTCAGCGGCCACTGTCTCCGCCTCCTCCCAGGGGATGTTTGCCCTTCTTAGATCATCTTGGAAGGTCCTGCGCCAGGTGTGTTTCGGCCTTCCCCTCTTTCTTCTGCCGTTGTGGGGTACCCAAGTCATCGCTGTCTTAGAGTGCCTTCTGCTGGGCAGACGGAGGATATGTCCTGCCAGCTGCATCCTTTTCTCTGTTATGATGGTACTCAGAGGCTTGGACTTGGTCCTGTTTAGGATCTCATCGTTCGTTATGTGATCCTGCCACCTCACCTTCAGTATCCTCCTCAGGTTTCTCTGGTGGAAGGCGTCTAGCTTTCTGGATGCTTTAGCTGTACATTTCCAGGTTTCGCTAGCGTAGATTGCAGTGGGTAGGACAATACTGTTGTATAGTCGGAGCTTGGTGTCAAGGTTGATGGTGGTTGCTGACCAGATGGAGTTCATCCGTCGGAACACAGAAGCTGCTTTCCCCACCCTACAGTTAATGTCAGGCTCTACTTCTCCGCTGTTACTGATGACACTCCCAAGGTAGGTAAACTGATCCACGACCTCTACCTGGCTGTTGTTGACAGTGATGTTCAGTCGAGGTTGACCTGTGTGGTTTCCCACCTCCATCGCCTTGGTCTTCTCCGAACTCACCCGTAGCCCAACTTTTCCAGAAGAGGTCTCCAGTTTCGTGGTAAGGTGCTGTAGGCCTTGGTTATTCTCGGACAACAGAGCAAGGTCATCTGCAAAGTCTAAGTCCGCAAGTCTGGACTCTTCCCTCCACCTAATGCCCTCCTTCCCGTCTCCAGTGGTCTTTCTCAAGACGAAGTCAATTGTGATCAGGAACAAGAAGGGGGAGAGGATACAACCCTGTCGGACCCCTGTGATGATGTTGAAGAAGTCTGTTGTCCCTCCCTCCGTTCTCACACAACACCTTGAGTTTTCATAGAGGCCCTTAAAGATCCTGACAAATCGGGCTGGTATTCCGTATGACAGTGCAATGTTCCAGAGGGTCTCTCTGTGGATACTGTCAAACGCCTTCTTGAAGTCAATGAAATTTTAAAGCTAACGGTGTTTGGTGTTCCAGGCATTGTTCGATGATGTTTCGAAGGGTAAATATCTGTTCTGTGCAGGAGCGGTTGCTGCGGAAACCAGCTTGTTCCTCTCTTAACAGGCAGTCCACAGCTTTCTTCAACCTCCTGAGGAGTACTGCGCAGAATACCTTTCCAGGGATGGATAACAGAGTGATTCCCCGCCAGTTGTTGCAGTTGGAGAGGTCTCCTTTCTTCGGAAGCTTCACGATAACTCCCTCCTGCCAGTCCCTAGGAACCTGCCCCTCTTGCCAACAGCGGTTCATCAGCCTGGGTCAGCATTTCCACTGTACAATCCCCTCCATGCTTAAGCATCTCAGCCGAGATTTCGTCCAGTCCTGCTGCCTTGTTACTTTTCATTGCTTTAATGGCCTCCTCCGTTTCCTCTTTCCTGACTGGTTCCTCGCAGACATCCAGCTGCTCTGCTGTTTCCTCTGTACCAAAGTCATACAGGGTGTCCGGGGTTGGTTGATTCAGCGTTTCCTGGAAGTGTTCAACCCACCGTTGGTCTTGCTCTTCTGTAGTTAACAGTGTCTTTCCGCTCTTGTCTTTCACTGGTACACTCGAGTTGTTCCAGTTTCCAGAGAGCTCCCTCACCAGACGGTACAAGGTCCTTGAGTCGTTTTTCTTGGCTGCCTCCTCAGCCTCTGCGCTTTTCTTGTCTAACCAGTGTCTTTTGTCTGCACGGCAGCTCTTCTTTACTTGGCGGTCAAGGTCACGGTACTGGTGGTCTGTTTGTTCTTTCTCTTCCTCGGTCTTTGCTCTATCTCTGAGCCCTTTTGTCTTCTTCCTTTCGTCAATAAGTTCCCAGGTGTGCCCCTGTATCCATTGTTCCTTCCGTGAACCACGCCTTCTCCCAATGGTTTCCTCTGCACTCTTTGTGACTGTTTCCTTAAAGAGTGCCCACTGGTCTTCCAAGTCCGGCCCCATGTCTTGAAGCAGCTGGAATCTGTTCTGGAGTTCGAGCTTGTACTGTTGACTGACCTCAGGGTCCTTGAGCTTCTCAGCTGCATACGGCTTCACTTTCTTCTGCACTGTGAGCTTCTTCAGCCTTAGCCTCACCCTTGCTCCCAGCAGATGGTGGTCTGATCCCACGTCTGCACCCCTGAATACTCTGACGTCGAGAAGTGATGACCTCCAACGTTGGTTTATGCAAACGTAGTTGCATTATGCCACAGCAAGTACTTTTTATGGATGAAATCAGCACGCGCATTTATTTTTATCTCATTTTGGAAAAAAAATATTGCCTTCTGACAGTGGTCAACATGCCGAAAATGGGCAAAGATGTCTGCTGCCATGCCGGAAGGTGGATGGCAGATAACTATGAAGAGAGGAGACAAGAAAAGGCTCTGATTTAATGTTCTGTTCTTACTTTGATGCAGTGATATGTGATGCTGGCTGTGTATATGTGATGTTCCCACTGAATCAAAACCATTTGTACAATGATTGAGTCAAAATTTGAAAATGTAGGAACCTGTTTTTTTCGGCCCGTCTTTTTCTCGCCTGCTTGCATCATATTTGGAGTCTGCGGAGGATGCCATCCATAAAATTTACTTGCTGTGGCCTAAGTAACACTACTGACCTCTCCTCCTATTTCCCAGGCTACCAGTCTGATCTTACAAGAATGCCAATCTTCCGGGAAGTCGTGGCTGTGACGCGCGTGCTGGACGCCATCATACATGTCTGGATCCACGTCCTTCAGACAGGTGTACAGGTCCATGTGATGGATCATACCTTCGTGACCTGGCTGTAAAACTGGTTCAAACTGGAACAAAGCGCATGTGTTTAAGACATCCAATCCAGTGTTAAATAGAAATTTGTATTATATTGACATTCCCGAGCACATTTTAATAATCTCAAACTTGATGCGCCTGAAGTAGCCTATTCACGAGTTTCACATCCCCATAATGCATTGCGAAAACAGGGGTCTAAACCTCATTTGCATAATAGGACAGAAAGACACCAGAATTATCTTGTTGACGTTAAACAGCTTGTTTTTTTCTGTGTTTTGAGCTGTCGGGGCATTTTATGCTCAACGCTAATTAAGTTACTATGGGTCAAATCGGACATTAAATGCCCCAAAACCTGTTTTCGCAATGTATTCTGGTGATGGGAAAAACGTGAATACAGGCTATGTAAGGAGTCCCTTTATTTTTGGAATGCCATAAAAAAATTGGAACCAGCGTACGATAATAAAGAACAACCTTTTTTTCGTAAAAAAAAACAATTTGGGGAAGGACAGAATTAGTATATTAAAAAAATGACTTTAGAAATCCAGTTTTGCAACCCTAAAATGTCATTTAATGCCCTTAATAATATGATAATATAACTTATCACTAGGATCCTATAAAAATTACTACATAATAATGCAATACCTATTTACATGTAGCTAGAATTTATATACGTTTTGCTTGATTTTGACCATTGTTCGATCTAGTCTTTAACGAGTGGAGAATGTGGAACATACCGCTATGATGTGTCTTTTTCCTCCGAAGTCTGGAACCTTGAATCCGCGGTACCAGTAGACCGTCTGTTTCTTCATTACGCTATACTGTAGAGGCGATATCAATTATCATTTGACATTAACACGCTGGATATTTACGCTAGTATTCTTAGATTTTTTTAAATATCATTACAATTGTAAATAACGAATGATAGTTTATAGCGGTGTATTGTATTGCATTTTTTTGACTATTGTATTGTACGTTATTGTAGGACTTTGTATTTTATGTCAACAATTGTTCGACATTGTAATTTGTATTGTATTGTATTTATATTATTGTTTTTGGGAGGACAACTTGTAAAGATGTCAATACACCTGTTTTGTCCTCCCTTCCACTTGTATGTTTGTACATGTGGTGAATTCTCATAAACAAATAAACAAATAAATAAACAGTCCTGACAAATGGTAACTACTTGGTAACACTAGACATAACTGGTAGACATAACCACACTCCCCTAGAACAACGAATATGTTAGTACTGTGATCTGGGAAGAATTGAAGATGAGAAACATTTTGTAACAGAATGTAAACTATACAACAAAGAGAGGGTAGAACTTGATATAATCTGATACAATCTATGTTCCTCTTCGTCATACATCTAAGCTGTAAAGATTTATATTTTTAATGAGCTTACTAATAGACAAACCTTCTATATTGAAACATACCTGTTCTTACCTTTTTGTCATTTACAAAAAAACAAGAAACCGAATTTACTTAATTTACCTAATTGTAGTTACTTGATGATGTATATATGTAACTTTATCTGTATGCCATACTTTTGCTGTGACCTGTACTTAACCCATTGGGTATATGTGTACAATGAAGGTATTCATTTATTCATTCATTCATTCATTCATTCATTCATTCATTCATTCATTCATTCATTGAATTCAATTCATTCAATCATTCATTGAATTCATTCATTCATTTGATCACACAAATCCAAACACACGTGTATAACTCAGCTTACCGTGTTTAGTAAGTCAATGGTTTGCACATCGTCTGGCATCTCCCTGTTCTGCGGGACGTCCAGCAGCATGAGGCTGCGTGCTCCCCGGGTCTCCCCGTGGTACATCAGCGCCGTGTCGTGCGGGGGGTCCTGGTCATGGTACGCCCAGATAACACGGGTGGTACCGGCCTATAAAACAGCATAACTATAAAGGTAAGAATTGCTCATGGTACGCCCAGATAACACGGGTGGTACCGGCCTATAAAACAGCATAACTATAAAGGTAAGAATTGCTCATGGTACGCCCAGATAACACGGGTAGTACCAGCCTATAAAACAGCATAACTATAAAGGTAAGATTTGCTCGTGGTACGCCCAGATAACACGGGTAGTACCAGCCTATAAAACAGCATAACTATAAAGGTAAGAATTGCTCATGGTACGCCCAGATAACACGGGTAGTACCAGCCTATAAAACAGCATAACTATAAAGGTAAGAATTGCTCTTGGTACGCCCAGATAACACGGGTAGTACCAGCCTATAAAACAGCATAACTATAAAGGTAAGAATTGCTCATGGTACGCCCAGATAACACGGGTAGTACCAGC